TCTTACCTTTGCTTGGAACTTCTTCCAGCATGGGAGTCTTCTGCACCTCGACTGGTTCATTGATAACAATGCCAGTTCTTACCTTAACTCTCTGATCTTGGTTTGCTGTTGGATGGTTCTGGGGTTGAATTTTAGTTAATCTCTGCTCTTCATAGTTGTACCCATTGGGCTTGTTGGGCATTTTCATTTGGATGTTGTTATGAAATTTCACTTTGGCAACCTTTTTCTTAGAAACCGTTTAAAATTCATCATCTTTTGGCTTATCTCTTTTTTGCTCCTTCTTCTTATGGAATTAAGCTTCCTTCTGTACTTTAATCCTTTCATCTCTGATCTTGTTTCTGCATTGGCTCTCATAGTGACCTTGCATTTTGCAATATACACAGTAACTTGAAACCTTTTCATATTCAATGTCAAGCCACTTTCCATCATCAGATCCATCTAGTCTTTTATAACCTAGCCATATTTGATCAAGTCTAGGCTTTAGGAGGTCAATTTCAACTTCAACCTTCGTAACATTACTCTAGACTTAGAGTAGGTTGCCAGGTCCGGAGCCACAGCCACACCTACATCCTGAACGAGTCTAGAAACAATATTCCACTTAAACATGTGCCAGGGAAGTTGGTGAATTAGGATCCAAACAGGGACAATGGACGTTTTCTCCTCAGGTTTAAAATCTGGAGTCCACTTGAGAATTTTCATAAGGATATTGCCAATGTCAATATAATCCTTAGCAAAGACGTGATTGTAATCAACTTCATTAGCGAAGTCAAGGTAAACATGCTTAGGATCGAAGTATGCTCTCTGCGTATCTTTTAGTGTTTGTAATTTGTAATATTATGTTGGTATTTTACTTCTGTGGACCTTCATTTGACTCCCCCACAGATTCGCTTTTTTAACATATTTCCTTTTCAGTTCAATCAATCGCCGAAAGCATGCCTCGTCCTACTATAAGACAAACAAATCAGCATTTAATTATATCAAAATTGAAGTTGAACCAGCAGAAGGAAAATATTGGCAAATTAAGCCGCCTGTTTCCAACATCTTGTCTTGCCAAATTATATAATGCTTGTGTCTTTTAAAACCACAAAATGAATGTACATATTGTGTACTTGGATATGGGGGAAACTTTGCTTCACTTGCTTGCTGTTTAAAGAGCAGAAGTCTAAGGTGAAAGCGAAGTTTCACCAGAAACAAACCTAATTAACAAATGTTTTTAAGCAATCAATATCACTATATCCAGGTTATTGGGCCCTAAATTAATCATTGATTTTGATCACAAAAAAAAAAAAACCTAAAATGACCTTGCCAGGCCATGACCTTTATATATATATATATATATATATCGATACTAAAAATATTTACATGAACAGCAAGTGTTATTTAGTTGGTTTTATAAATTATTTATCCTCGTTAGAGTTGTTAGGTAGAAAAGCTTACTTACACCCAATTTTACATCAAGGTTAATTACCAACTTACTTGGGGCAGATACACCTTGCCCCACATGAACAGTTTTACAAAATGTGCATATATTATTATTTATTTCTTCAAATGTTAATATGGCTTACGAAATTCTTTGCATACGCCATTGCAACTTACCATGATTAACTGAGGGTAAAAGAACTTAAACCCTTTCTTTTTTTAATCTATCGATATCCCCTTGTACTCTTTTAAGAGTAATAAGCAAATAGTAAAAGCTAATTACCAAAAAAGAAAACGTAAAAGTATAGTTGGCCGCTACTTGTGCTTAATTATTTAAGAAATCCAACAGAATTGGGAGCCAAATATATGTCAGCCAACAACTGTCAAGGTACTAATTGAGCTTGCATGATTGAGCAAAATATACTCATAATTAAGTACCTAACGTTAGACAAAGATGTAGCTGTCAACAATTGGCTTTCAAACTTTTTATGACCGCAACCGGAATTCCCATCTAAAAGGAAAAAGAAGAAAAAAAATGTTTGTGCGTGCCGTAAGAATGTCTCCCTGATGAAAATAGACATGTCATTTTTTATCTTGACCTGTAAAAAGTAGATTTAAGTTTTTTAGTTGGTACTTTTACCTAGTTATATTATATTAGGAACTTTTTTATTATTGTTTTCTATGTTTTGTAGTTTTTAATGAGTATCTAGGTTTTTCTTACTGTGTAGATTGCTCCTTAAGAGGCTCACACCCCATTATTAGTGCCTTCAATTAAGGGATTCAATAATATCCTTTCCTTCTTTTTTTCCTCTCCTCTTCTCTCTCCTTTTTTTTTACAACAAAATTCCTTAATCTACGACCAGAATCTACATCTTCTCTCTTCCCGCCATTGCCAATAATTTTATATTATTAAATCATCAATTGCATCGTTCTTTTGCTGGGAGACCGGACAGCACTGAAAATGAAGAAATATTCAGGAATTGTATGATAAATGTATCATAATTGTATTTAAATTGTATCAGATACATCAACACGTAAAACGTAATTGTATCATACTTGTATCACAATTGTATATAACTTGTAGATGGTTCATTAATATCCAAAATAATACTGATACAATACTAATAAAATTAATATATAATTATCATATATTTGTGATACAAATTGTGAAATTCGTCACGATCTCACAATTACTCATAATTTAAATACAAATTTGATACAATCCTGAAAGAACTCTTACACAATTCTGATATAGTTATACAACTTAAAACCGACTCTAAACTTAAACTGATACAATACCGTAATACTTGTATTAGTATTGTATCAGTATTGTTTTAGGTACAAATTGTGATACAATTCTAAATTATGATACAACTTTGATCTTCATCTTTTTCAAGTTTTAATTTAAAATCTTCACCTAGAACCGACTCTAAACTTATATTATCATACAATATTGCATTTTAATAGTATTAGTATTGTATTAGAATTGTCTTAGGTATTGATGTATCAAATACAACGCAGATACAATTATGATACAATTATCATACAATCGTAATACAATTCCGAAACTTCATCTTCATCGACTTTTATTATGAAATTCAACCTAAAACCAACTTTAATGTAGAGTGAAGCTTACCCACAACTTGATTGTAGAGCAAATCTTCGAATTTCTTCTGTATTGTATAAATAAGAAAGAGATTTTGGACGATTAAAGAGAGCAATCATATATCAACAGCTTTGGAAGAGGAAAGAATCTGCAATTTTGGGGGGATAACAGTAGAAGAGGAGTGAGAAAGCGGAATTTTTGGGTTAAAAAGATTATGGGTATCAATGGGTTTCTTACTGTGGGTAAGTACAAAGAGGTGTGATGATTTTGGGGTTCGGTGAATTTCTTACGGTAATGCTTTTGGGTAAGTACAAAAAGAGGTGATGATTTTGGGTAAGTTCAAAGACAGATATAGTTTTCCTTGAAAAAAGGAAGAGTATCATAAATATAGGGGATTATGTGTAACTGATACCGAATATTTAAGGTATGTTTCATTTCCTCCTTTTTATGGTTTTGTATAAAACTAATAAATATAGGTATATAAAGTAATTAATAAGGAGCCTAAATAAAGATAGTAAATAGGTTTTATCATAGTATAGCTAGGTAAAAATCCCTTTTTAGTTTTAGAAGAATAAATTACGAGTTTGAGATATCCTTTTCAATCGGTTCGATAACAACACAATAAAGAGAATAAAAACATTAATATAAAATACTAATAGAAATCCGGTAATTAGCGACCAAAAAAACCGACCAACTTTGATCGGTTATGGCCAATTACCGATCAAAATGCGATCAAATACGCTTTGACGGTATTTTGGTGGTCGCTACCGACCAAAGTTGGTCGAAAATTACCGACCAACGTTGGTCGGTAAATTAAATTTAAAAAAAAATATTGCAAAAAAAAACCCACCAAAGTAGGTCGGTATTTTAATTATGTAATCAAAAGATTCACCGTCTGGGAATCGAGCCGGGGTGGGTACTGTGGTAGGATACTATTCTGCCACTAGACCATTGGTGCATTTTATTTTAAGATTGTCTTTTTTTTTATTTATACTCTTTAATTGTATTTTCGCACGAAAATAACCGACCAAAGTTGGTCGGTTTTATTAAAAAATAAAATTACCGACCAAAGTCGGTCGGTTTTTTAAAATGACCGGCCGAATTTACCGACCATAGTTGGTTGGTTTTTTTAATATTAATTTTTATTTATTTTAATTGCAAAAACCGACCAAAGTTGGTCGGTTTCTTGAAAAATAAATTTCGCGGGGCTCAAAAATAGTTTCTCGCATTTTTGCGCCAAAGAAAAACCGACCAAAGTTGGTCGGTTTCGTAAAAAAAAATTAAAAGTTAAAATATTTTGGAAAACCGACCAGCTTTGGTCGGTTTTTGGCCGATTTTTTTACCGACCAAAGTTGGTCAATTTTTCTTGGTCGGTTTTTGCCGAATTTCTAGCAGTGAAACTAGGTTGTTGTCAAAGTAGGACTTCTACCATTTCGGTTTCTGGCTAATTAAGCCTCTAACATTTTGCATGGCTAGTTTTAGTGTTTTACCTCATGTATACTTGAGTAACACTATAATATAGTACTCATAATAGATGAGTAGCGGCAGAAATAAACATTTTGATAAACTTATTCCCTGTGGTCTACTTTAATTGATTTTTGACATTTTTGTGGTCCATAATATTTGAGTTTTTCAGATATCAAGAAGAAATTAATTTCTTTTTTCTAAAGTTGTCATTGGAGTAAAGAGTTTTGGAGTATCTGTTATATTTTCAATTAAAAAATTAAAAAGATAGTAAAGATTAATATGATCAATTTTATTATTAATTAATGTAAATAAATGAATTCCTTAATATATGCTACAAAATCAATTAAAGTAAATTTGAGGAGTAAAATATCCTGAAATGAAGGATATGTATATGAATTGAGAAAGTGGAGTTTAGTTAAACGATAAATTGATATGAGAATGCATACAAATAATAAGTCATGATTAAGTAAATGGAGTTAGTAAATTTGTTTTTCCCTGATTGCACAGCGTACCAGGCGTGTCTTTCACTAGGTGGTTTGCACCGCCCAACAGCCTACTAAACAATCAATACTTCGCTATGCCAGCTTTAGGTCCCCCTAACAATTCAACCCCAACTTACTCCGCTTCTCAGTTCTCACTACTCTTTCTTTACAATTTCTTAATTGACATATATTATTTCCCACCAAACCGCGTAATTAATTTTGAGTTCACTATCATTTCCCAACTTATGAGCTGTGCGTTACATGTATATATATACTTTCTGGCTCTCCCCTGCAAAACACATCCACTCCAAAAGTTCTTTACTCAAAAAGACCAACGGAAAATAAATCTTGTAAAAGTGCAAACACTTTCTCATTTTTGGTTCCCACTACTGCCACTGCCATTTCTTTTCATTATAGCTATTGCTATCTTCTACTTTTAAAACACAGCTGCAACCATGCAAGAAAGGTCAAAAATGCAGAAGAAGAAATCAGCAGTTGCACGTAGAGCTTGGAACATTCTCCGCCTAGCCTTGTTATGGGCAAGAAAAGGTGGCATTTTCAGGAACAGACACCTTATAGCCGATCTCCGTTTGCTTCCCAAATACATTAGAAGCCTCCGTCATACCAACGACTACGGGTATGGAGTTGGTCCCAGTGCATTACATTATGGGGAACGTGAGTTTTCCTTTGATGACACCCCTATCATTCATGTCAAGATGCATCGCCCTGCCTCCTTGCGTTTCAAGATGCCTAACATCCCCTGCATCAAACCTCAAGTTGACTTTGACTTTGACTTTGACTTTGAAAACGATCATCATTATGATAATGAAATGTACCATGGTTATGTTGATGATGTTCCAAGGAGAAGTTGTTTGAAGGGTGCCGATGATGATAATGAAGACGATGAATATGCGAGCTGTGAGGTCTCTGAGGAGATTAGTTGTCCTGGTGATGAAGCTATTGATATGAAGGCTGAGCAATTTATTGCAAAGTTCTATGAGCAAATAAAGCTGCAAAAGCAAATGTCATATTTACAATACCATGAGACTCACGCTAATTGAAGGTGACAATTGACGGAGAGTTGCAGACGCTTTTGACTAATTATAATCTACGAATTTACTCTTTCTTGTATCCATTCTTGCCCTTGTTTCAGTTAGATACCTGTAGTATTCCTTATGTATAGGAGGCCTTGCGGCATTTTTGTAGATAGATGAGGTGTTTTATTCCAGACTTCAAAATAAAAGTCTCAAAAAACAATTTCCAGAATGATTTTGCGTCAAGTGTTACCTTGACACTGGTAAAACATACGTCGACGACAGTCACGAGGGGGTAACGTCTTGCTTAATGGGAGGCAATATTTGGCAACTTGAGCTGGAACTCATAAGAGCTATGTACTACAACTATGGCACCAACCAATTTTCAGCCACACGATCTTCGCTATTCTTTTAGCTGATGTTTGTTGGAGTATTTTTCTGTTTTCGATTCAATTTTGATGTTCGTAAGTGAAACTTGTATTTCGATTCCAGAGGTTCAAACTATAGAATCCATGATCGGGCAACCTTTTATTGGAAATCATACAAATTGAACTGAACTCCACATTCGGGACATAATCAGACTGTTGGAACCGAGCCTACAAGGTTTTTACCTCAAATATATATTTCACCTTTTAAAGTCTCTGGCTCTAATCCAACCCGTCTACCTTTAGCGACTCTTGGATCATATGTAAAAGAATTTCACCATCTCACATCTCCGATTTCCGTTTTGAGTCTAGGCAATAAATGTGTAAAACACTGCCATTCGGAAAACACAAAAGAAAACAAGGCGCCATCAGAGTGCAACAGAGAAAGAACTAAAGCACTCAAACTAAATCTTTAAATTATCTGTTGTCAACAAAGTTGACAAGTAACATATTAGCTAAATCACTTTGAAATAATTGACAACCATAGAACGCAGCTCTTCATACTCGAGGGGCTTCTGGTGCACAAGCAGACATGTGCAAGTACGTCAACATTTATCTCACGACCAGTTGGTGAGGACTGGAGAGGATCACACCACAAAATCAAGTTTCCTGCAATCAAAACCACTTAGTAGATCAAATTTATGAGAAGAGACCGAAGCAATTGCCAACTCAAAACCACACAAGTTTCATCTTTCATTGGAATATCAGAAAGATCATTCAAATTAATCTACTCTATCCCGAATAGTTGTTTTGAAAGGAACCAGGAAATTTTCTAAGATGTAAGAACAGACAGATGCTCATTAAAAGAATTATCAACTTAGAAAACCCCACCCCACCCCCCCCACCCACCCCCCCCCCCCCAAAGTACTCTCAGCTAAACTGTTGGAATTGTAAATCTGTAAAGGAACTACAAAATTTTCAAAATGACAAAGCATAGACGCATAATCTAACAAAACTCAGCTTTAGACCCCCTGGGACAAGTATTGTCGACTATAGGTCGTGGCTGGTGTTGGGCAGCTCATCAAAATGAGAAAAGAACACTCCCAAAAGTTGAAGAGGAGTGTATAGCGGGTGATGGGTAGGCCATCAAAATAAAAGACAGCTATGTACCTTGTGAGCAAAAATTTATACAACTAGTTAATGCTGCTGTTTTGCTTATATGCTTCCATTCTGCTGCGTCTGGACGTAAGCTTCTAATTGTCCTGTTGCTGCCATGATAAGACCTACAGTACAATGAAAATTGTAAGGTATTTCTTCTACCGCTAGAAACGGTCACAGCATGCCAATAAACAAGTTGCAAAATCTGTAAAATCCTGTTCTAAGACTGCACAACGCAGTTTCATCATGTAATTTCTAATCTTAAGATAACAAAAGAAAAAAGACACCGCATTCGTGAGCTTATGCTATTATCCTCAGCTAAAAGCAATGGAAGTTTTCTGTACTATTAATCCAGGTCTCTAGCAGGGTAGAAATGTGGAGAACAAATAACAATAACAAGCTCAACTGTTAATTTAAAGGAAAGCAAGAGCAAACATAGATTTCTTCCAGTGTAAATGGGCAAGTGCTAAAATAATGACTTTGCCATCTAAATAAACGACTTCATACTGTCTCTGCTGCATTAACACAATCCATTCGCAGAAAACGACTGCAATAACATTAAAAGCAACACCACATGCATGTTAAACTGCATCAAGTTTATAGGCGATAATATCAGTTTATATTATAAAAGTTTTAAATAAAAAAAACACTAAGTCCTACCTAGAAAAGGAGCTGAAGGTCTCCCTGGCCTTGACTTGTATTCAGGATGAAATTGCACACCAACATAAAATGGGTGACCTGGAAGCTCTAATATCTGCACAAAGAATAAGAGGATGAAAAAATGGAGAAAGACCTACAAGCAAGAACAGCAAGAAGAAAAGTAATGAAGAACTTAAAACAATGTGAACCTATAATCACTTGAACATAAAGCTTGTCATTGAGTCTAAAACCAAAGGATTATGAAGAATAGTTTTCACCTAGTCAATAGCAATTTAAAGCCTATAGACCAAAATCAAACCTCCATTCGTTTTCCACTTTCGTCCCTTCCCACAAATCTCAGACCAGCTTCTTCCAAAGTGCCTACAACTTCAGGATTGACCTGCAATATGTACCACCGATTTATTCAGAGGGCATGACAGCATAATTCATGCAGCAAGGATTACAACACAACAAGTGTAAGGCCTATGGTTAACCTCATATCTATGGCGATGTCGTTCATCCACATACTTAGAATTGCTATACCTGTCAAGAGAAAAGATATTGCATGCGTCAGGAAACATACAACGGAAATATAGGAAAATCTTCTTTTTTTACATGTAATAATTTATTAGAAAAGCATTGAAGAGACGTGCAACCTATAACTAGAGAGCAAAAACAAAAACAAGCCAGCAGAGATCCCCAAAAAAACCATTTTACATCCTGTATCTAAGCTAATCTTAGATAGGTGAAAGAGAACTAGTAATATCTCAATGAAAGCAGATGGGTGAACTATTATGGAGCGAATCACAAACGAGACTGCCACAAAATCACATCTTATGCTCCTGGTGTAGAGATGCTCCAAAGAAATTGGCAATTCTAGACTTGTTATATCCTATAAGTCCACAAAAATCTAATTGATCAAGCATCTGGTCAAGGCACTGTTATGATGAATAAATGATACTAGATAAAGTAGTGCTTCATGAATTGAATGAGTCAACAATGATGCATAGATTCCATACAGTTTTGACGTGATACAATCAGGAGTCTGGAACAACGTTTTCCTAGATCCAAGCCTCATGGTGCTTCCCATATGTGTTTTTGACCCCTGCAAAATAAACAGAGAAACATATAAACGAGACAAATATTTATTTATCTCTTTGAATTATTAAGAGCTAACTACCTCAGGCATAAAAATTACAACAAGGTCCGGTGTCTGGGGGTCAAACTCTTCACTGTTTGCTTTTTCCATATGCAACACCTGCAAATTTGGAAAGAGATAATGACACATAAAAGAGATGGTTTAAACACAAGATATTCCAATTTGACAGTCTAAAAGAATCAACTTACAGATCTGGCAAACTCAATTACAGAAATCTGCATCCCTAAACAAATCCCGAGATACGGTATGTTATTCTCCCTAGCATACCTTGCAGCCAATATCATCCCCTTGACACCACGATCACCAAACCCACCAGGAACCAAGACACATGCAGCACCCTGGAAAAGGTTGGTTTCATCTCAATAGCTTGTAAAATGAGTTATAGAGTACTCTATCAAAGAATGAGTTCTACAGTAACAGCTGAGCCTCTCTGATGACAGCACCAACGCGAAAGGTGCTTAGCAGCATAAGACTCACCCGAACATTTTTGCAATCTTGATAATCATAACGAGAAAAACATATCCAGGGATAGATGGTTAGCTAGACTGCTAAAAGTCTTACCATAGTGGCATATTCACATGCATGTTGTAAAGAAGATAAACCTTGGGCTTTATTTAAGATATATGTCATGAGCTGAGGATTGTCCAAACCCATTTAAGGAAACAACAATCCATTTCTCAATCACTGTCGGACACTTAACCCTTCTCCCCCCCCCCCCCAACCCCCAAAAAAACCCCCACCCCACCACAACACACACGCCACGGCTGGACATCTAACATAACATGGGGGCCTAACATTAAGTAAACCAAGAATTGGGATATGTTCTATATATTATTAAAAGGAGAGGAAAAATTCCTCTCCTTAAGCGAAGTGGCAGCCTAGAAATAGGTCACATGGCATAAGTAGTTACTACTTAGTTATTAGTTATTGTTTTCAAATTTAAAAATCTGTAAAATAACAAAATAAAATATTTTATAATAATAAAACGAATATTTAAAAAAAACTATCCATACAAATTGGAGAATAGTTTCAAGTTAGAGTTTTTAAATTATTTTAAAAAAAAACTAAAATTATGATGAGAGAAATCGTACATATACACATAATAAATAGTTAAAAAGGAAGAATACTAAAAAAAATCAAGCGATAGTGTAAAATATATACACTAATTAAATTTTTCATCTAGGAAATTTAGTTAATTAATAGAACTCATAATTTCGTAATGAAAAATATAAAGATACTAGTATGATATCATATAGTATAAGATAAGCACATTATATATATAATACGAATTTAATAAAAATTAAAATATTGATAGGTTTTTTTATAATAATAGTAAAATTCTTATCTCTGTATACTTTTGAGATATTCAAAATTATAATTTAGTAAAAAAAATAAATTATTTAAATTTTCAGTAAACTACAAAATGAGAAAACTAAGTATTACAGTAGAAAAGAATGTATGAAAAGAGGAGGATAAAGATAATTTTATGATATTTATATTTTGAATTGATTAAAAAATAAAAGATTAATAAATAAAACTCACAAAATGTTAATCNTACCATAAGTTTAAACAAAAATATATATTTCAAGAGTAAGAAAATATATATCTATGTTATATTGAAAGAGAAGTAGTTTCAAAATATTAAGCCAATTGACAAGTCAATAAAAAATCACATTAATAAATGTATAGTATTAACTACTTGCTAATTTGACAATAAGAATAAATAAGGAACAAACAATTTATTTGTTACTATATGATGTGTATCCTTTGAGTTTGTATAGATTTTGTTATATTTCTGCACACTATTAAATAATAAAATATAACTAATATTTATTAAAATAACATGATATATTAGATCATAATTTTATAAGATTAATATTCCATCAAATTATTCGTGCATCACGCGGGTTCTAACACTAGTACCATGTAAAGTAAATGGACTTTGAGCCTAGCATCCCAAAAGTTAGCTCATGAGACGAGGATTGTGCAAGACCATTTAAGGAGACAACAGCCGATTCCCTCAACTAATGTGGTCTCAACTGAGCAATCATGCAGACATGATATAGAAACTGAAAAACCATAACCACCACATGAAAACTCAACCATGCTAGAAATGATACAACCACAAACGAAAAGAAGAGAGAGAGAGAGAGAGAGAGAGAGAGAGAGAGAGAGAGAGAATGAAAGTACTGCATTGACAGATGACTCATATCTCAA